ATTGTGGGGGGCAGTGCATTTAGCAAGAGATCATTTTAATCCCTATTTCTCCCCACTCTCGAAGAGGGTTTACAATGCCTATTTGAGGGAATAAATGAAATCAAACACTCTCCTGTTGTTTTGTTTTCTTCTTCCAGAGAATTCAGAAAGAAAAGCTCCATCTTAAACTCTAATTCTTCGGTTTGCAAAAACAGATTAGACATATCACGAGTAGGCGTATGCTCCTAACATCCAGAAGAACACTGCCTGATCGCCACTTACTCAAGTCTACAGGCTTTGTCAATTTTTCTCACTATCCTTTCTTTTCTTTTAGGGTTAGCTGCAGGTTCAAAAATGAATCTAAACAAAGTGCCAAATCCAGGTGCCCAGTCAAAAACCCTGTATCAATTTCTTTTTTTTCCCCATTTATCAATTTATTCTTTCTTTGAAGGAATCAACACCCATAGATCCCTGGTAAGAAGTAAGAAAATCAGGGGGGCAGTAGGTGGTATAGTGGTTAAGGTGCTGGACTCCACATGACTGACCATGGTTCAAGTCCCAGACTCGAGGCTTGAAACTCACACCGGGCACATGTGCATGCGTGCCCAAAATCCCAAGAGGAGAATGGAGAAGTGATTGCAGCATGGCCATCCCCCCAGTAGGTGATTTCTTGCTTTCTCTCTCTCGGTCTCTCTGGCGAGTATCCACGCCCTATAGCAAACAGAGGGCTATAAATCTCTCTACAAGATGAAAAAGAAAGGAGATCGGTCCCACAGAGCCCAAGATAGATGTCATAGCAGCAAAGCCTTAAGAAAACTCCTGCTTATAATTGTGTCTAGGTTGACTTGGTAATTTCAACTGGGTTGGTGCATTCATTTGGAAAAAGCTTCACATGCTATTCCCTTGGAAATTCATACACCACTTCCTCCACTATAACTCCCTTGGACAGAGGTTCTATCTTTCCTTGTAGGCTGCCTCAATACTCTCGGCACTGTTTTGTTTTAACAAGCAATTATAAAACTGCTTTGGAGTTATTTGTATTTCTTTTTTTTTTTCTCGGAGAGGTTTTTTGCTATAGGGTGTGTGCGCTCACCAGAAAGAGAGAGACAGAGAGACAGAAAGCAAGAAATCACCCCCCGGGGGATGGTCACACCACAATCCCTTCTCCATTCTCCTCTTGGGATCTTGGGCATGCACACAACACGCACCCAGCATGAGTTTAAGCGCATGAGTTTAAGCCACCGGGTCCGGGACTTGAACCATGGTTGACTACATGGGAATCCAGCAACATAGTCATTACACTAACTGCTGGTCCCAGAATTATTTGTATTTCAATTTCCCCATTAGACTGAGCTGAAGAGCACAAATTATATCTTTACATATTAAATGCATAGTACACATTGTAGCACACAAGAGGTGTTAAATAAATCTTTACTGAATTGAAAAAAGTTCTCTCTCTCTCAAGTCTCTCTCTATATATTTTGTATATATAGACATAGATATATAGATATAAAATTTACTTCAGTCAAGTAAGTTTTCACTGTTAAAGACCAATGCCTTAGATGGACTGAGGTTAGTTCCTCAGGTGGTTCAGGCCCAAAGTGAACACAATGGACAAAGGACAGGTAGGAGTTAGAGGGCCTTGATAAATGGAATGATTTTGTCATCCCAGGAAGAAAAAAACTTACCAAAGAACTCCTATGCTATAAAAAAATGATTCCGAGACGTTTTGATGTCAGGAGCTCTGAAGTTGTTTTAAAATCTATCAACACATTCCTTGATACTCCTGCCTTTAAGAAGTGGAACTTAATTTCCCTCCCTTTGAGTGTGTATTACAATAAGTGACTTACTTCTAACAAGTCAAATATACCAGAATTGATGGTGTGTCATTTCCAAGACTAGATCATGCAAAATACTGCAAGGGCCTGAGCGTGGTGCACTGGTAAAACATGATGCTTTGTGAGGCTGACCCACACAAGAAGTTTCTAGGTTCTCATTCAGAGACCTGCCTGAGTACATATGGTAAGTGGTCTGAGGCTGGCTGAGGCTGGAAGTGAATTGAGTCATAAGACCCTATTGCAGCTTTCCTCTGTTTCTATCTCTCTTTTTCCTGGAGGAAATAAGTAAACATTTTAAAAAGTTATTTTTAAAAAAGACATTGCACATTGCATTTTCTCCTTGCTCTCTTCCATGGATCACTTACTATGAGGAAGCTAGCTGACATGTTATGAGGAGATTCATGAGATCCGTGTACTGAGAAAACAAAGGCTTCTTTCCAACAAGCAGCACCACTTGCTAAAACTGTAAGTGAGCCACTTTAGAAGTGGATCCTCCAGCCTCAGTCAACAAACACTTCAGATAACTGCAGCCTCAGGCAACATCTTAGCCAAAATTTACCTATCTATATCTATCTATCTATCTGTCTGTCTGTCTGTCTATCTATCTATCTATCTATCTATCTATCTATCTATCTATCTATCTATCTACCTACCTATTTTTTCTATATCATCAATCACCTATCTATATCTATCTATCATCTATTTATTTATTTATTTATTTATTTATTTATATTTTGCTATAGTGTGTGTGGGGGGGGAGTGAGAAATCACCCTCTAGGGGATTGGCCACACTGCAATCCCTTCTCCTCCATTCTCCTCTCAGGATTTTGGGGCATGCATGAACATATACCTGGTGTGATTCTCAACCTGTTTGGTCCGGGACTTGAAGCACAGCTGGCCATGGAGGAATATAGTACCTTAACCACCATACCACCTGCTAGCCTGTACTTATTTATTTTTGATTGCTAGAGGATACACATACTTGCCAGGGAGATGGTAGACAGAAAGACAGGAGAGGGAGAGGGAGAAAGTATCCTTAATGGGGAGTGGCCACACTATAATCCCTTCTCCTCCATTACTCCATCCTGTTGGGATTTGGGGCATGAATGCATATATGTTCAGTGTAGTATTCAAGTCACTGAGGCAGGTACTCCACCATCGTCTACCATGTGGGATCCAGTTCTCTTTAAGCACTAAGCCACGGGGCCAGCCCTTGCCTGAAGTTTAGGAACTCTGAGAACCAGCCAAGCCATTCCCAAATTCCTGACAGACATAAACTATGAGATAATAAATAACTATGTTTTGGGGTAATTTATTATACAGCAATAGATAACTATAACCCTTCCACACTCATAAAAATCATTGAGAATGCCAAAGGGCTTTTCTTTATATGACATATATCTTTCTATATTAACTCTTAGAATTAAAACTCATAAAAAATTAGATTTTTTATTAATTCAAAACAATTATAGACCTATTACATGTTAATATAAATAAAATTTTTATTGTGAGAAAAAGGACACTGTTTTTATTCTTGCAAGATGTTTGTATTCTCTGTCTTGATAGGAGATGTGTAGGTTCCCCTTCTGACTTTTGCATGTAATCTGTTGCAGTATGCTGTTTTGGTTAAAGTATATGAACAAAATTCAGCTTCACACAGATATGTAGTTAGCAAAAGCAGGATTTCATAGACCCACTGATAGAATCTCTGGAACTTCTGGGGATCCTTAAATCACTCTTAATATTATCAGTACAGGAAAACTACAAATGTGTTAAATTGGAAGTCACCAAAAGAAAAGGGGACTTTCTGAAATACTTCATTAGAGGACTCTATATCAAGCTGCATTACTGCCTTCTCTTATCCTAAACTTAATCATACAAGGCTAAGAATTTACTATTTCAAAATCCCCTGTAGTACACAGATAGGAATAGAATAATATAGCCCAAATCTGAGACATTGCTTATTTTATATCCTACTTCTGCATCTGTAACTCAATCGCTCACAAACTTCTCAAAATCAACAGAAAAGGGACCAGCAGATGGTATAACGGTTATGCTGCTATACCCCCAAATGTCTGATCATGGTTTGAGCCCTGGACCCGGTAACTTAAAACTCATGCCAGGCGGGTGTGTGTGCATGCCTGAAATCTCAAAAGGAGAGTGGAGGAGAAGGGATTATGGTGTGGCCATCCCCTGAGAGTGTGATTTCTTACTTTCTTTATCTCTTTCTCTCCTGTTTCTCTGGCAAGTGCATGTACTCTATAACAAAAATCTCTCTAAAAAAAAAAAAAATCAAAGTCGGGACCAGCAGTGGGCATAACGGCTATGTCGCTGAACTCCCATGTAGTTGACTGTGGTACAAGTCCTGGACCCGGTGGCTTAAATTCACTCCGGGCGCGTGTGTGTGTGTGCCCAAGGTGCCCTGAGAGGAGAAAGGAAGACAAGGGATTGTGGTGTGGCCATACCCCTGGGGGGTTGATTTCTCGCTTTCTGTCTCTCTGTCTCTCTCTGTCTTTCTGGCAAGCACACGTGCCCTATGGCAAAAACCTCTCCCCCCCCCAAAAAAAAAATCAAAGTCAACAGAAAAAAACCTCATGCCTATCTATTCTTGCAACAGTGACAGGGTTGGCTACATATGCAGTTCTTTGTGGAATGTCAATTTTCCTAGGGTTGTGCTGGGCTTCCCATTTGATTTCTACATCTTAATTGTTTACAAGAAACTAGAAGAGCCTTGACTTTATCATTTTTAAAAGACTAAAGTGTGCAGTGTGTGTGTGTGTACACGTGAATGTGTCTTTTCAGCTACTCTCTGATGAATTAAACAGTGACTCACTGTTGATAATAGGAAAGGGCACAAATTAGGCCATGGAATTATGAGACCAGATTTTTAAAGAGAAAATATTTTGTTTAATCAATAAATGATCTTGAATATGGAAGTTCATTACACCCTGTGCTGCTGTACTAGATATTTACATGTGGAAAATTTACATGAAAATATGGCTTGGATATAATACAATATCTTTTTTCATTAACATTCAACAGATGATAGAATTTAATTAATCAAACACTCTACTCTGAAGATCTAAATAACATGTAGTTAAGAAGCTTCACTTCAATGGTTTTTGACCTTAAAACACAATTGCTAATTGTGTGCTGAAATAAAGAAAAAAAGAAACCTCTCACCTTCTTCGGCTGGATAAGGTTTCTTCATGTTCTACATGAGCAACTTTTAATACTTTCTTGTCAATAAACAGATCTTCAGGATAATAAGCAGATCTATATTGGCGTTGTTGAGAATGGGCACATAACTTGCCAATCTGAAAAAAAAAAGAAACGCAATATAATTATGTGATATTTTTCCAGATGCGATAGTAGAAACAAATTCTGAAACACATTTCAATTTCTTCCCCCAATTTCTTTTTAAATAGGAGAACAAAGCTATTACTAGAGTCAAAAAAGGTGATAAGCTTTTAAGACAAAGCTTATTGGTGGAAAGGAAGGCAGAAGACATGGGGGGAGGAAACAGCCTATTCTGGAAACAGCCTATTCAGAGATTTCTTAAGGTGAAAAATGCTTTTTTCTATGGTGAAGTGTACATCTGAGAGGGCGATCTACCCACGCTTCATGCTATTGATACCTTTCGACGGCACTTAGTATTTATGTGTATGAAGAAGTTGACAAGAGAGGATTGCAGTTTAGGAAGAACTGGTGCAAAAGATGAGGATGGGTGAGAGGTGTGTGGAGTAGCCTGTTAAAAGAAGAGCAGCTTCCGATGCACAGAATACTCCTGATTTTTAAGAGCATTTGGCTGTAAGCGCCAAGACAAGGTATTCTAAAAAATATCAGTGTAATTCCTAAAAATGCCCAAGGAAAGAAGACAAAAGTCAACCATCAATAGCCAGTGCTGTCAGCTGTAAATTATATAATCAATGAGTAAGACCCAGATTGAAAGTATTAAAAATATAGATGCTCAAGAGAGCTTGCCGGCCTGCCTTCCTCACTCCCTCCGTACCTTTCCATTCTTATCACTCATTCATTCACAAATATTTATTAGATACCTCTTTCAGTGACAATGATTTCTTTAATGGCATCACCTTTCTTGTTTAGCTCTATTCTGATTTCTTTGGTTAAAATTATTTACATATGGGAACCAGCAGTTAGCGTAATGGCTATGTTGATGGACTCCCGTGTAGTCGACCGCGGTTCGCGTCCCAGACCCGGTGGCTTAAAACTCACGCCGGGCGCGTGTGCGTGTGTGCCCAAGATCCCGAGAGGAGAATGGAGGAGAAGGGATTGTGGCGTGACCATCCCCCCTGGGGGGTGATTTCTCGCTTTCTGTCTCTACATCTCTCTCTGTCTGTCTGGCGAATGCACGCGCCCTATAGCAAAAACCTCTCCAAAAATAATTATTTATATATTTGCTTTTTTTCACTTTTAGACAGGAGTTGAAATAAACTTTCATATAAAGAAATGTGGACATTAACATTCTTATGTCTCCTTATGCTAAACACTATGCTAAATATTATGACTCCCATTTTATAAATGAGGGAATTGAGGCTCAGGGAGGTTAAGTGACTTGCCTGAGGTAAAAAGGTAGTGGATTCACTTGTCTGACTTTGAATCCATTTATGTGAGTTCCAAGCTTATACAACATTGCCTCCCTAGATCACACTTAATTTCCACTTGCTTACATTCTATGTTTTTTTGGGGGGATTCTTTGTGATCCTGAAAAACAGCCAACCAAAAGAGCCATAGTGAATATCCAGACTGTAAACTAGAGGAAAAATGGCAGAAATATCTTATGAGGACAAGGGTTGTATCCTTGTCACCTCTGTACTGCCATGGGATTCAGACTAGATTTGGACACTGTTAGGCAGAGTGGGGTAAAGTAATAAAAGCAAATTGAAGGAATTTTCTATTTTCAGGTTGGGCACATCATTCAGTGGATAAACTATGAGCTCTGTGTGGTGATCGCAGCTTACAGATTTCTCAAGGTGTCCCTGACAGCATTTGCCAAGTTATCTACACAAGAGTTCTTCAAAAAGTTCACGGAAAATGTGTGTTATGAAGAAACTGTGCCTTCGTTTCAAAATTACTTTGCACCAAAATAAACTTGTACTTTATTTTCATTTTCCCATGAACTTTTTGAAGTCACCTGATATAAAAGCATTACATGATGCTTATCTTATTGTTTTTTAACATTTTATTTTTTTCTTAGAGGTTTTTGCCCTAGGGCACGTGGGCTTGCCAGAGAGAGAGAGACAGAGACAGAGACAGAGAGATAGAAAGTGAGAAATCACTCCCAATGGGGAATGGCCACACTGCAAGTCCTTCTCCATTCTTCTCCTGGGATCTTTGTCATGCAGACACATGAACCGGTGTGAGTTTGAAGCCACCAGTTCTGAGATTTGAACTGTGGTCGGCCATGCGGGAATCCAGCAACATAACCTATAAACCATCTGCTGGTCCCTAAGGTTTTTTTTTAATAATTTCTTGTTTCCATTTAATTGTTGTACATCTGTGGAGTTCAGTATGGCCTGTCAAAGCAGGCATACAGTCTGTAATAACCAAATCAAGGATAATAGTATATTCATCATTTTCAACAAAGAATATCACATTTTGATATGTACATGTACCTTCAACTTTTGCTCTACTAGTTTTTATTTCTTTTTTGATATATAGAGTGATATATGTACATCTATGTCTGTGTATACCTATATAAACACAGATACACATATATATGACTGTATTTAGTTTGTATAGCTTTGGAAGGTTTTCCATATAAACAAATTCTCACATTAGAAAAATTCAAATCCGCAAGAGGATCACCTCTGTTTATGAAAGACAGCACCTATACTTTCATATTCAGGCTAGCTATTTTTAATAGTCTATCTTAACAGGAATTAAAAGTTGCAGGCACTTGAAAATATTCCATTTGGCTTTGGAATGTATGATACTGAATTTTTCAGATGTGCTTTTGTAATACTGTTTAACTTGGCTAATATGACTTTCAAATAAAGAATAGACATTCTTTGAATGTGCCCTAATAGCAAGTTCTGGTAGGGTGCTTCAAGCCAGGGACTGCCCTGCTGTACTGGGGAGTTAAGTTACAATCACCTCGAAAGCACATAATGCAGATGCAAATAACTGAAGGCAGACTGTACATTGTAACTTTATGTCTATAGACACAACACTGGTTAAACTGTAGGTGAAATTTCATGAAAAAAGACCTCTATTTTTGTCTCACAAATATCTATTTATTCTGTGAACCTACAGTATGCCTATTTCACCAGGATCAAAGTATTTTTAGCACATTCAGGATCACAGGACATATTCTCTTGACCTACACCTGTTTCAAATCCAACATGAAAATAAAACCTTTCAGACACTTTCCACAGTAACTTGTCTACTTACAGCCCATAGCTGTGAAATCTCCCTCACCATTGAAAGTCAGCCCTTTGTATCACTGAATACTAATTGGGCCACAGAAAGACTTTAAAGTTTTTAACTCCTCCCACTCCCACTCCAGCCTACTGGATAGGAGTGTAGCTGAGGCAAAAGTAGGAAAGTTAAGAACAAATGAGAATGTAGCCAGTCTGCAGTCTGACCTTTCTTCCCAAGCCACCCAATGTGGCATTATCAAGTAGACTTCCCAAGGCTCTGTGGGGGGTAAGGGGCAAACAATGGTGTCCTGCCAATACCCCCAGTCCCCCATCTGAAATGTGCCACATCTTATCAGACAGGCTGTATTTTCTTCCACAAATCTACCATGAAGCAAATTCTTCTCATATACAAAGCATTTGTCAAATGTATCTCCCTCTTTGGGCTCTACTTCCCACATCTTTCACCTCCACACTGTTTGAGCTGTAGGTGAATATCATGAACTTATTTTGAGAAGTGAACACTAAAAGCAAACATGATTTACAAAGAGATGCAGTATTCACATGAAAGCCTTTTGCCTTCACACTCGAGAAACATCAGGCTGTGCTGGGAGACCTCAGTCTTATTCTTCAGTTGCACTTGCTAAAGAAGCCAGCTTCCCCAAGCTGCATTTTAGAAATTTGTATCCTGCCCAGTAATTTTAGGCTCTTAAATAAGAAGTCCAAGCCAATTTCCTTTCACTGATTAATATACCAACTCAAGAATGCTGCTACCTTTAGATTTAGTTAGTTGGTGTGCATTTATTGAATTGGTGAGTGTCTCTATCAAGACCTGGAACATAAAACCTTTTTGTTTTTCATGAAATATGTGTGACTCCAAAAGTTGCCTTTATTTACGTGCCAGAACCTGTGGCAGGGAAAGCTGTAGTGCTCTGAAGTGTGCCAAGTCCTGAAATAGAAAAAGAAGGCAGGGGCTTTGACCATATCCAGGCCAGTAAGTCATTCTAGCAATCATGTACCATTCTTTTGTACCAGAGTCCAGAAGTATTTTCTTTGTACATAAATGAGATGAATACACTGTTGAGGTCCAGCAAGGTGCAGTAAAGAGCACAAAAGGTTGTGTATCAGGAGACCTGGGCCTACACTCTTCTATCTTTCACCCTCAACAAGACTGGGTTTTGACCAGACCTTGCATGATAACTTCACTCCATCCCCAGCTGTAGCCGTATGTGAAGAAGGAAGATATGATACTTGAAGTGGCATATTTTATTCTGAAAGAAAGGTGAGAGCTTGAAAGAAAGGTAAGCTCTACTTTACAAGTTGAGTATGTTAATATAGGGGAAGAAACATTTATTTTCTTCATCCATGCCTGAGGCACCTATAAGAAGACAGATTAACAAGAGAAAACAACAGAAACATGTCCAGTTTTACAGGACACAAGAACCTTTCAAAATGAAGACTTGGGTCCAATCACAACAGTGCAGGCAAGGCTGAGACCATATGAGAGGCCTGGGTTAAAATCCTGGACATATGGGCTCTGGAGTGTGCTCCTTTGATCCTAGCTAACTAGGAAGCTGGGGCAGAGGGTTGTAACAGCAAGACCCCATGAAAAACACGCCCCCCCCATTATAAAAAAATGGGGAAAAAAAGAAGACCCAAAGAAAAAAAGGAAATATTTATTTATTTATTTTTGAGAGAAGTATTTGCTATAGGGTGTGTGGGCTCTCCAGAGAGACAGAAAGTGAGAAATCACCCTCTGGTGGGGGGTGTCCACGCCTCAATCCACTCTCCTCTATTCTCCATTTAGGACCTTGGGCATGCACGCACATGCGCCTGGCATGAGTTTTAAATTACTGGGTCTAGGACGCAAACTGCAATTGACTATGTGGGAGTCCAGCAACGTAACCATTACGCCATGTGCTGGTCCCAGAAATCTT